TGTTTTATCATATCGGGTTCATGTTCTAATAACATTGTTTTTGTTATTGGAACATGTTTGGGTTCTAGGAACATTTCGTGGTAGGACTATAGGAATGCCGGGACGGTCGGTCCCTGCTCAAGGGAAGCAGCAGTCCGCCGGTCTTCCTGGGAGGCGAGAGGCAGCAGAGGGGCTCGCAGCGCGGTTTGCCGGAGCAGAGGGCGCAGGGGCTCTCGCCCCCACGGCGTCGAGCCGCCCACCTCCCAGACCAATGGGGGGCGGCGACCCGGTCCGTGAGCTTGAGGCGGCCCCGATCGCAGATGCGGGCGGAGTGTCGGAAGCCGGAGATGGGGTGAAGTTGAAAGACCAGGGGTGGACCCAAACGGTGTCTTGGCGCTTCCGTGGGCCGTTTTCGGTTCGATGTCGTGTTGTGTCAGAGGCGGACTGAAGACAAGACGAGGGAACACGATAACAGAACGGAAAGGAAAAGTACCCTTTAGGTTCAGCCCTGTTGATCACCACCTACCAAACCACCCCAACCCAACCCGAAGGCCTCAATTTGCCATCCACTTCCAGTGGGGGGGGGGTCGGGGAACATCGAAAAAACACGTGTGGAACCCATACCCCCCCCCCAACCCGAAATCCGGGTCTTCGGGTACGGTTGGGGCGGTCTGGTAGGGAGTCAGTTGAGGACGGGCAGGGCCCGCGCCCGCACAGGTCTGCCACGGCCTCGGCGTGCCCGGGCCCCAGAGGGGCGGGCCCGCACACGGGCGGACGGAGCTCGGCGGGCGGCGCTCCTCCTCCTCCTCCTCCTCCTCCTCCTCCTCCTCCTCCTCCTCCTCCTCCTCCTCCTCCTCCTCCTGCGCCTCCTCCTCCTCCTCCTCGAGCAGGGGGCGGGAGAGAACAGCCTCGGGCATCCCAGGGCCGCCTGCGATCCGAGTCGGTGCGGCGTCGTTCGGTGGGCAGGGCCAGGCGCGGCGATCTGATCTCGGCCCGGTGCGGACGGTTCGCTGGCGGTTCGGGCGTCGCGTAATGGGGAGGGTCATACATGGGGGGGTGGCGAGGGTGGTCCGAAAAGGTACGGTAGGTTCGCGTCGTGTCGACCGGCGGCGACCCCGCCGCCGACGTTCAACGTTGAACGCCGACGGCGGCCCAGAATCGGTCGATGTTGAACGATTGGACGTTGCGGAGACGGCCGATCGTTCAAGGTTGAACGATCCAGCGCGGTGTCAGGAACCAACGCCAGGGTCGACACGGCACGAACCTGCAGTACCCAAATGGTACCTAAACGAGCCCCCTGGGGCTCTGGAGGGGCCCGAAAGGGGCACGAAAGGGGGCCGTTTCTGACCCCCCCATGTGTGACCCCCCCATTACGCCACGCCCAAGCGGTGCGATCCGTTCCCGATCCAATCCGATCCGGCCAGGCCTGCCTTCCTCCCAGGTCAGGCGCAGATTGCGCAACACATTCTCGTCACCAGGGTCGGCTTCATGCCAAGAACATGAGGCGGCACATGCATAGATTTCCCGAGGGCAGTACGGACTTCTTGGGATCGGCGCTGGACCCTCTTGGCGGCGCGGCGCCTCTAGAGACGACCCAGGGCATCCGCATTGGCATCCGAATGAAATTATGTTTATGCCGATTTCGTTGTCATATGTATGTTTTTTCAGGGCTGCGCTAGCAGCCACTGGTTCGCCTCCGGGATCTCACATCCCTTTCTTCCCGACAGTTATTCCCAACATTCTTGTGGTGTTGGTTTCTCGTGTTGAAGAGACAGCGCCCCGCGTTCACGGTGTCGACAACGCTGTCAGTTTCCAAGGGCCAGCATGCGTTTGCAATGACTCACTCCTTGCAGGATTTCAGGCGGCACATTTTCAAAGCTGCCAGAATCGAAACCACGAAGACGATGTCTGGAGTCCAGGTTGTCGAACCAAGACGAGGAGCGGTAACGGGGCACTGACACATGCTGGCGAAGCCATCTGCGAGCTGAGTATACCCGCGCTGACCGAAACGCATGCTAGACCAGACGCTGCATCAGAGGAACATGTGCTTTGAACTGTCGTTGGGTGACCAAGGACGAGCTATGGCAGGTGGGGGATGAAGCCGACGAAGAACCCTTTCAAGCAAGCAGCGAGCTTCTGCGTTCGGCGCGGCTCCGAGAATGGTTGATTTGAGGTTGCCTGCAACGCGGTGCAAGATGGCCCCAGCATCGTCGCGTGGCCAGGAATGGAAAACATGGTGTAAATCTCTACAGCGGACCGATCAGGCCAAACATTACAACGCAGGTAGTGTGGAGCCACCCATACAAGACTGCATAGGACCCTTTCCTTGAAGTCATGGATGAAGGAATGTTCGGCGTGAGAGGTTTCGAGAGATTTGGATGAAACTTTTGAGATGCCCATGATGAATGTAGCTGCTGTGCGCGGACTCGCGGTAAAGGTCGACTGCGGTGTTTACCGCGCTGAGGTCGTAAAATTTGCTTGGGTAGCTTCTCAGCTCGCCATTGAATTTCATCTGCACGATTACTAATAGGATTTACGGACTTGGCAATGGTCGCCTCCTCAGCGAACGCCCGATTTTCCGATTCCACTGCAACGATCGGGACATGGAAGAACGAGCCAACGCTTTTCTTGAGGGCGCCGTACCTTGCAAGACGGCCGTCCCTGTCAAGTGCTCTAATGCTCAAGCTGTTAGGCCGTGCCGCGCGCCGGAGGATCGCACGAGGTAGGCCCTGCCAACAAAGCACCCCGCGTAGGAACCAATGAGATAGACGGCGACCTCCGAACTGTCGGCGTTCAGTATCCACTGCGAGATCCGCGACCATGCCAATGATGGACGCAAGACTATGTCATCCGGGTATTCCGAGGGGAACACGCACCACCGTTGCCGAAACCATCGTGCATGGCAAGAAGCGTTGCGCGCACGCCGAGGTCGACATAGTCCGGTCGCAGCCAAGGTCAGACAGATGGTGATTGCTTTGGCTTCTGCACGCACAGCGCCCTGGTTGGATGGTGGGAGCAACACTTCAACAGACGCCGCCAAAGTTGCCACAAGGTTCGCAAGGTAATCTGTTTGAGTGCACGAATCACGCAATGATGAAAAATCTAGCAGGATCGGTATTGAAGGTTTTCCAAGACCGAGCACAGCCGCTGAGTTCCGGTTCGTCGAAAAATGATGTTCTCGGGAGGTGGTTATCGGCCGCCTGGCGCACAATATATGTACATTCCCACGGTACCGAATATTGGAAGATTGGATTTCTCCGCGGGCCGTTGCCGTGAGGCCCGGTCACCGAGGAATGTTTGATGATTTTTGGTAGCTATTCCGCTGCGCACCATGTTTTCGTTTGCAGCGCTTTGCATGATTCACGTGAGACCGAGGTTTACGCGGTTGAGCGCATGTGCCCGCGCAGGCCCTTGAGCCCAAAAGAAAGTATAGAGATGATGTTGATGATGATGGTAACGTAGCACGCAGAAATTGCGGATAATACGTGAGAGGGCGGGCGCGGGGTGGGTCTCGGTTGGATCGTGAGTGCTTCGCGAGTGGGTCGCGGTGGGTCGCAGGGTGGGTCGCGAGGCGGGTCGCCGGTGGGTCGCGGGCGGATCGCGGGCGAGGGCAAGAACGGCAACAACAGCAATCATTTTATTTTTGTTCCTTCTTACTTCTTCGCGTGCCACCCAACAGGTACACCCCAAAGCTTCGATCATTACCCGCCTTCTTCGTCTTCGTTCTTGCCCCCCCAAGCGTATTTGGCACAGCCTCTAAAACAGGGAAAGAGGGGACGGATGGAAGGAAGGGACAAGGGGGAGGGAGAATGATGAAACACGGGATGGGCTAGCAGGAGGGGGTTGGGAGCAGAAAGCGCGTGGCAGAACCAGACGGGCAGATCGGGCGGGTCGATTTCAACGGGCGGGTCGTGAAGGCGAGCCCAAACAGCCAGTCCGAGCAGGCGGGTCGCTGAAGCATGAGTCCTGCATGAATCGCGGGGAAGTCAAGCGATAGCTCGATTCCCAAGAAAACCTTGATCATGGCCGATCAGAGAGCGTGTTCTTGAGTATCGAGGGCACGGCGTCTGAATGCATTGCGAAGAAGGGCCACGCGAGAGCTCGATTCCTGCATACATTTGCAGGAAGTCCCGCGGGAAAGCGCAATTTCGAAATCACTTGTGAGGACGTATCAAGAGGGGGGCCGTTGTTGTTGTTGTTGTAGACGGGGGGGCAACAACACAATCCGAGGTCCAAGGTTCTCCGCAGTAAGAAAACAGGGTGCGAGCCCCGGGAGGAACTGCTTATTCTTTAGGATTTGAGATCTCCGCACTGCAAGAAATTAATCGCGCAACAACGCAACAACAACAATCCGCACTGCGGAAACCCACTTCAGCCACGCGCCCAGAGACAACGAATGTTCGTTCGCCCCCCTCACTTTGATGATGATAATGACGATGATGAGGAGGAGGATGAGAATGACGATGATGATGAGGATTATAATGATTATGATGATGACGATGACGATGAGGATATTGATGATGAGGGTGATGGTTAGAGGGATGGAGATTGCGAAGGTGTGGTGGAGAAGATGTTTGTTATGATGGTGATCGTCATCATCATCAACATCATCATCAGCATCAGTTTCACCGTCATCATCATCACCACAACCATTACCACCGTAATCATCACCACCATATCACAATCGTCATCCTCATCATCATTACCATCAGCAAAATCATCAACATCCTCGTCATCATCATCGTCGTCATCATCATCACCACAACCATCACCACCATCAGCATCACCACGACCATCACCACCATCAGCATCATCATTGTCATCTTTAACATTACCCTCATCATCATAATCATCTGTCATCGTCACCCGCAGCATCATCATAATCATCATCATCATCATCATCATCAGCATCACCGGTATAACCACTGGACCATCTGAGGAGTTTCAAGTCGTGATCGGACGCTCACTTCACCATCCACCGACACCGAACGCATAATGGTTCATCGGCGCTACAAAACGAGGCCCACACTGGCGCTGGCGCCCCTGGAGTGCCCACAGCACCTGCAGTCGAGGCTCCTCAGCTCGAGGCGGAACCGAGTGGCGAGGCTGCTCGAGTGGTGGGCCTGCGGGCGAAAGGGGGAACAGGAGGGGAGCACTTCTGGGGAGTGGTAGGTCGCCGTGAAGAAAGAGGGTCTTGAGGCGATTTGGCCTTGAGCCTTCTCTCCGCTTCCGGGCTCCCTGGCCCGTTCCGTGTCCCGGAGTCGTGCAGCAACGGTGCAGGATGATATGTTGGCCAGGATCAGGACCCTTCTCGTTACGTTCATCAAGTCTTCGCCGATCCCCTCTTGCCGAACCGCCCTCTTCTCCCTCCGCCGATCGAGGGATGGGAGCTACTTCGCGGCTGTCCTGGGTTCGCGACATGGCATGGCCGTGGTGGATTTGGGTTGGCGCTGACCTGGGCCAGCGCGTTCCCGAGAGGAGCGTTCTGGGAGCGCTAGGGCGATAGGCTTGGCTGTTGTCTCATGCAACTACAGTAGCCGCGGCAGCATCACCACCAGTAGCGCCAGCACCAGGACCAGCGAAAAGAGGATGAGGAGCAGCAGCAGCTATTTTGGGGGGTCGTCCGCGACACGTAGCGGGACAGGGCAGGACGAACAGAAACAGTAGAGGGGAACGAGCAGGAGCGGCCGGATCAAGCGCAGTAAGCATGTTCAGCGTGGATCCGTATACGCTTGCAGAGACGTTGTTGGTGTGTGTGTGTGTGTGTCCTGGAAATGGTTGCACGCGAAAGCTTGTATGTTTGATATGTCGATGGCCTACGCAAGCCCCCTTGCACTGAAGAGTGCTTCAACACTCTGCGTGCGCACACCCTTCTCTCTGGAGAAAGTGCTGCAAGCTCCGAGGGCAATGCGCGACTCGACGTCTACAAGTCCCCGCACATTGCAACCTGAGGGATACGTCCCGAGCCTCTCGCCTCTCGACACACCCCAAGACCTACCAGTGAAGCAGGACATCTCTCGTATGACTACCAGTCATTCTTCAACCGAACATACTTTCTCGGTGGAGGTTCCCGGCTGTGGCCGCCTGTCTGCGGCTGTCAGCTTGAGGGGGAGATCGTGGGGACCCTCATTGAAAGCCGCGAGTTCAGAGAAGACATGTGCTCCATTTAGTGTTTGCAAATGAGGGAAGCGTAGAAGCACGCAGTGGAACCGCCGCTGTATAAGCGTGTCGAGCACGCAGAAATCCGCGGGAATACATGTTTACTGAGTTCACACATGGTCCCATGCCACAGCGGCTGTCTTGGGGGTCTTTTTGGGGGGGCATCATGCAATTATCTTGAGACCCTTCCTCTTGGGGCGGGGTGATCGCTATCTTTGACGGTCGGATGGGTACGGAACAGAAGGAATCGGACGGAGGAAGAGAAGGCAGGGTGGGGGAGTGGCGAGGGAGGGTTGGAAGAGGAGGAGGAGGAGGAGGGGAAGAGGAGCAGAATGATGAGGAGTTAGGAGGCAAGAGGAGGAGGATGAGGAGGGAGGATGAGAAGGCAGGAGGCAGGAAGGAAGGAAGGAACGGGCGAAGACTGGGAGGATGAGAATGCGGCTTCTGCGGATTTGTTGCTGTGTCCTGACGGCTCTCTGGCCTGTGGGAGCTCCTAGGAGGTTTATTGACCACGCACTTGTAAACCAGGGTAGGAGCGTTTGTTCATTCCTCGATTCAATGGGATCATTTCCCTCCACCCCACCCCCCTCACCTCCAGTCAAAGGGGGACCCGCCGCCCCTTCCCGAAGGCGAGCGCAGGCCCCGCACGATCTGAGAGAGTTGCGTCCCGCCTCGCATCTGCAGGGGGCGCCAGCAGCGGCAGCGCCCGGGTGCTCAGGACTGGCGCGCTCAAGCGGAGGGAGGACGAGGACGCGTGACAGCGGCGCACGGAGGAGTTCCCTAATACTCAAGCGAGGGGGAAGCGTCAGCTCGAAGAAGGAGTCCGGGCGGTGAGTCGTCTGGGAAGTTTGGTCGTCCACAGCCTCTAGCTGATCATTTGCCACCCTCTCTCCGCTTCTCTCACCCCTGTTTCGTCGTTTTCTTCTCAAGCGGGGACGGACACAGGAGCCACCAGGAGCCATCGCGAGGAGGAGGGTGCCACGCGGCGGCATTCGATCGCGGTTCCTGGAGGGCAGTACCGGTGCTTCCACATTCAAGTGTAAGTCACAACGAGTTCGTGAGCGGTCCCTCCGCCTTGTCGCCACGAACGGCTTGGCGGCCCTTTTGTTTGGTTTGGCTCTGATGTGCCCGAAATCATGCCAGTTTGGCGCCCAGGCCGCGCAGCGTCAGCCGTGCAACAGGCCAGCGATCGTGATCGGGGTAGTGGGTCAGGGAGCTTCCATTCCAGAGCTCCCAGTCACCAGATTCGCTAATCAAAGCGAATCACGTAAGCTCACACAGCGATCTGCAACCATCTGCCAACCCTACCCCCGCGAGTGTAAATGATACTGGGGTCCCCCACGCTACCCGCAGGGGGTAATCTTTCCGCAGGCATCCGTCAAACTCTGGTTTCTGAAACGTTTCGGTCAAAAGCGATACCCTTATTCTTAGGTCCTTCATCTGCCCAAGCGAGCTCAGGAAGGAGTGGGGAATGCAGAGGGCAGCAGGAGCAAAAGGACTGAGTACGAAATGAACAGCGGCAGCGGCAGGCGGCCCTGAAGTCTGCAGGTAGGCTGCGGCCGAAGGCGTCTCTTCTGGAGGCGGACGCGTTTGAAGCTCCAGGGAGTCAGAGGGACGAGGCGGCGGTGGCGGCAGGAGCTCCCAGACTGACACTTGGCCCAGGTGGCGATGGCCCAGGAGACCAGGACTTTGCAAATCTGGGCTCTGGAAATTCAACCTGGGGAACGGAAGAGTGGTTGACGTCTCGCCTCACCGCTGCAGTTCCCACAGGTGCGCCCACGCCCTGGTTTGCCAAAGCCCCTGCCTGCGGGGCCCGCAGGTGGGCCCGCGACCTGACTTCCGGCCCCGGCGTGACCTTCGTGGACCCGGCGGGCCTCGTGCCGGCGACGGTTGCGGACGGAGCGGACGGGGTCACGCGGAGCCCGGCCGGCGGGGGCATCTCTCAGAATCGGGCGAACGGGGTCTTTGGAAACGGGGCCGCGAAACGTGCGCGCAATGGTTCATGCACTAGTTGGAAACCATCACATACATCGTACCGTGCCTCGTGCAATAGTCGGGGTGCAATTGTTTGCTCGCGCGAACGCAATAGTTTATCTCTGCGATGCAGTACCTATACGACCACCCTGCGGGTGATAAGGAGGTTTGGGCGGGGAGGGGGGCCAGCAGTGGGCAACAGTGGTGATTGTTGCGTTGCCGCTCGCTCTTGGGAGCCTTGGAGTCGAGTTGTTTACGTCATCCTTCGCTCTTGGGCGCCTTGGTATCATTCTCCCCCCCGGGAACCATTGAAAACGTTGTCACGATCGATGTCGTTATCGGTCTCACGATCGATGGGACCATCGATCCCGCTATCGATCTTACTCGATCGATCTCACTATCGATCTCATTCGATCGATTTCACGGTCGATCTCACACTGGATCTCGCTATCGATCACAGTAACGATCTCCCTATCGATATCACGCGATCTCACAATCGATATCACTATTCATCTCACTATCGATCTCACTATCGATCTCACGATCGATATCGATCTCACGATTGATCTCACAATCGATTTCGTCATAGGTCTTACTATCGCTTTCGCACCAGCGGGACACCAGGACATCGGCGGGATACCGGCGGGACACCGCGCGCCACCGCTTGCCGGAGGGAGAATCATTTGGTCTCGCCGGGGCCCAGCGTACAAGCGGGACACCGGCGGGACACCGCGCGCCACCGCTTGCCGGAGGGAGAATGATTTGGTCCGGCCGCGCCTCAGCCACAGGAGACTTTCCTCTCGCCCGCCCACGCAGCTTCGCCTCGCCCGCACGCACGGCACGCACGAACACGAAACCGGAACTGATTTCCCTTTTGGGGGGCCTCTCCGTTCCGTTTCGAGATCACCCCCCAACCTCCGATGTTGTGCTCATGGTTTTTTGCGAGCAAAAATTTGCAATAGTTGGCCTGCCACGATGCACTAGTTGCGCGTGGTCATGCAATGTGACGGAATACTTGGGCCCGCGGGCGCAATAGTTCGCGATAATTGCGCGCAGTAGTTCCACGCAGCGAACTATTGCAGCTGCGGTTTACGGCCCCATTTCCAGATTTTTCATTTCCCCGGAACCAAAGAATCTCATCGGTCGTCTGGGCGCTGCATGTGCGGCCGCCCAGGAGGGGCCTCGCTTTCGATGATCCGAGGAGTTGGCATCTCTATCTCTCTCTCTCTCTCTCTATCCCCTGGCGAACAAAGCAGCAGAAGTAAAGCGAGGACCGCTCCGTCAGCGGACCGGCGGAAGCCGGCGGATGTAAAAGATGCGCCCCCAAGAGATGTCAAATTTTGTGGATTCAGGGGTCCTGGCGTCGGAAGCATGATCACGGCAGGCAATTGGGCTGTGTTTCAGTCCCTAGGACCCTCACGGATCGATCCAGGTGGATCCAGTTCAATTCGACCAACAATGAGGTGGTGCACATGAGGTTCGTCGCAGTTGCGAGTATAGCCTTCGCAAACGCAGAGGGTAGCGGGGGGCTGCTCTTGGCTTGAGACTTGCGCCCAGTGAGGGCGTTGTTTGATACGTAGTTTGAGGTCTGCTCACGCGAATCCAGTCCAAGTCGCTCCTGTGTTGGCCAGTCCGAGGAGGCGAGAGCAACGTCGCTGCGCATCCCGGCGAGGACGAGTGTGAGGCCCCAGTGCGCCCAGCAAGTCTAAATAGTTGAATGGGGGTGATCAATGATTACGTCGCCGTCCGTAAACATAACGACTTGATGTTAGCCCTTGTGCTCTGTGGAAATAAGCGTTTTCGTGATATCACGATAAGATAGGCATTTCTCCATCAGCCCCTATGTTGAAGGAGTAATCGCAGAGCTTGTAAGGTTGTGGCGACAGCGGCAGCCCGACTTCGGTATGTGGTTGGAGTTCCGAGTTTCCGGGCTCCGAGTGTGCCACCGATTTCTGTGGGAGGGTAGGTTCCATGCCCCGTTGGCGAACGTGTGTTGCCGAACTCGTTGGGCGGTTTTGTTGCGGCTTTCGATTTATTTTGGTACAAGATCCCTTTCGATTCCGGTTGGCGGCTTGGCTACATGTTCCCCCAGGTAGAAGGCGCACTCTGGAGAGAGTGTATTGATCAGGGAGATCCTACGGAGTTGGGAGGTTAGGAAGATGACGTAGTGAGGGCACACAGTACATTTAGAGATGGGGCATGCGAGCAGAGAGAGAGAGAGAGAGAGAGAGACAGAGCAGCATGAGACAGAACGTAGCGAGAAAATGAGACAGAGAAGAGAGCATCCAGGGGAGAGTGCATAGTGCAGGGACCTGAGGACCATATCCATCCATCTTCCTCCTTTCCTGACGCATTGTCTCTGCTTCAATCATCCAGCTCCTTTTTCCCGTCCCATTCGAATTACCCTTCTATCTCCCTGCCCTCCCCATCCCCCAATCTGGGCAGAGCCGATCAGCCTGGCCCCGCGGCCATCTTTGTCGGCCATCGTGTTCCCGAGTTCTCCTGCACTGGCCTGTGCCCACAGTCAGGGTCGGTGACACTTGCCTGGCCACATCGTTTCTTAGCCATCATCGAGCGCCGCAGAGCAGGAGTCACGGCGAGCCCCCAGGGGGGAAGCGTGCACGCAGATTTGGCAACCAGTCGGTGCTAGGGAGTTTGCTCCGACGAGGTCTGTACCAGCCGTTACAATGTTCCTTTGGGGTGTATTTGCGCCTCTTGCGGGGTTAGGCGGGCTTGGAGGCCAGATAAGAGCCTTCTGGAGTCCAGGGGGCACGACGTGCGTGAGAGGTATACCGAATTGAGGTGGCAAGCTGAGCGCCCAACATTCACGAAGTGCGTGGTGGGTGTGCCGAATTGAGGTTCCCATCAACATGGAACTGTAATTGTTGATGCTTTGCGTATCCCCACCAGCCTCTGTTCGCCTCCCGCTTCCTCTGTTCTCCTCCCTCTTCCTGTGCGCCTTCCTCTTCCTCTCTTGCAGTTTCTCTTCCTCTGTTCGACTCCCTCTTCCTGTGTGCTAACTTAGGCCGATCATCTGCGCTTCGTACCTTTACGCCGCCCGACCTTTTTCACCGCGGTCGCGATCAACAAACATCCCCACCAGCCCATCTAGACACGATGCCCAGGAAAGTTGAGGTGATCAGGGAAGTAGGGGGACATGCAGAATAACAAAGGGATGGGGGAAGCCGCCATATACCCCAAGAGGGGGAGGATAGAGGAGATATCGTCGTCGTCGTCGTCGTCGGAGGAGGAGGAGGAGGCAGAGGAGGAGGAGGAGGAGGAGGAGGAGGAGGTGGAGTAGGGCGAGGACGAGGAGGAGGAGAAGGAGGAGAAGGAGGGAGAGTTGGGCACGTGGGGGATGCTCTTGTGGCCGGAGCCTCTTGGGGCCGTCTGGGCGCCTCTTGGGCCCTCTTGGGGTACTCTTGGGAGCCTCAGGGGCGCTCTTGGGGCCATGTTTGAGGACATCGATCAAACAAGAGAAGAGCTCCAATTAACCTCCCCCCTCGGGAGCACCGAAAATCTCCTCCTGGACCCCTCTTAGACCCCTCTTGGAGCGCTCTTGGAGCGCTCTGGGGCGCTCTCGGAGCCGTCTTGGGGCTCTCTTGGGCCTCTCCTGGGGCTGCCTTTTGCCATCTTGGAGCCATCTTGAGGCCTCGGATGGCCATCGGAAGCGAAAAGGTGAGACATCAAAAATAATTGATTCTTTTGGAGGGTTGTGAAGGGTTTGGGCTTCTGGGGGGCCTCCTTGAAGGTCTCGGAGGCCTCTTGGAGACATCTCGGAACGTTATTGGGGCCTATCGGAACATCTTGGCAGCCACTTTGAGGCCTCGTGTGCTATCTGGAGCCATCTTGGATCTCATCTGGGACTCAGGGGCCCTCTTGGAGCCGTGTTGGGCCATCTTGGACGCTCCAACGCTTCGCCGCCCCGCCCGTCCAGGTCCAGGGGGGTGGGCAAGGGGAGGGGTCAAGACACCCTCCTGGACAGCAAGCCGTCTGGCTCACTCCCACCCGCCCTCCCAACACAGAAGTAACACCCGAGCCTCAGCACGGTCAGCGGTCGTCCTTGGATGGACGGCTACTGGGAACAAACGCCGGGCACATGTGCGCGACGCTGGGGCGAGGTGCGCCACGCGTGCCAGGCGCGTCACGCGCACCGTTGGGGCCCGAGCGTGCCAGGCAGGCCTGGTGCGCTAGATGCGCCACGTGCCTCCAGCCGCGACAGGTGCTCCAGGTCCTGGGCACGTGCAGAGTAAGTCAGGTGCGCTTGCGCACGTGACAACACACATCGGGACACATGTCGGCCCCAACCATCCATGTCGAAAGCCAATACCCATCATTGTGTCTGGTGGGCCTGCGCACAGCAGGCCAGACGCCACCACTTGGCAGCGATCGCGGGGTGGCCGCGCACGATCCAGATTTCGCCGCGAGGTGCATGTTGTGTGTTTTCGGTCATGGATGTTTGCCTTGCGGGCAGCAGACATTATGTTGACCCCCCCGCCCCTGTCAAAGGAATAATGCAAGGTGCTCGCGGGCCTCACGAAAATGACTCTGGACTTTGCCCCAAAGCGTACGTTGTAGTATTTGTTGACAGAAATGGTGGGGGAGTGGCCCTCATGGGGTCCTCATTGTTCCTGGTTGTTTGCCTGTCGCCTGGGGGAGGGTGTGTATATTAATATGGAGTTCCACATGAGAAAAACCAATCAGTGGATGATTTGAAAGTTAATACTTTTGATCTTGAGATCGATTGTGAGATCGATAATGAGATCGATAGCGGAATCGATAGCGAGGACGACGAAAGGTCGATCGTGACACCGAGAGTGAAATCGATTCAATCAGATCGATAGTGAGACCGATCGCGAGATCGCTCATGCGATCTCTAGTGAGATCGATTGTAAGATCGACGGTGAGATCGATAGAGATGTGGGTAATGAGATCGATGGTGAGACCGATCGATAAGAAGATCGACCAGGAACCCAGGAACCCGGGAACCTCGCCGCCCTCCGAAATCGGCCCAGAATCCGGAACCAGAAACCCAGCGTGCGACCAAAATCGGCGGGAAGTTTTCGCTAAATCCTTCAACTTCCGCGAGGACCCCTTCAGTGCAAGCATTAATTGGGGAACACTGATAAACCCCTCCCCGAAGGGGAAGAAGGTGATTGGAAGAGGAGCCGCCCTAGACCGCCTACGCCCAGAGGGCTGGTGGGATTCACTAGTACGTTGACGTCCCCCAGGGGCCTCGAGGCCCAAATCGGTAGTTCGCTTACGTGTCCCAGGAGCCTGAGAGTGCAGATCATTCGTATTTTCACGTGTCCCAGTAGAGTGTCACGCAGGACATGGCAACAGGTGTTTAGAATTGAACCCTTCGTGGCTTTCGGAGCGAAGATCACGAGTATCTTCATATTTCCCAGTAGTGCGTGTCGTAGCCATGAAGGCGTTACTCATTTGTATTTTCACACGTCGCCGGACGATGTCAGGCAGACAGAAGGAAATGCGTGAGGGTGTGCCGAATCGAGGCATTCGTGGCTGTGGGGGGCGCAGATCACTCGTACTCTACGTGCTCCCGCCGAAGCTGTGACGCACATGGGCATAGCCTTGGGAGCGCATTTCATTTGTAGGCTCTCGTGCCCCAAGAGAATCGATGAAACATAACCGCATCGAATTATCTTCGGGCCAACGGCATGCGCGAAGCCCCGCAGCATGGAGCCCACAGCACGGTGTGGGCCCGTGCCGCCGAATTGAGGGATCAGTTGAGGCCCCTTGCGATTCCATGAGGCACGAATTTCGTGAGGAGTGTGTCAGACTGAGCCCTTCAGCCCTTTTGATGGTCAGCAGATCGCCCATTGATAGCCACGGTGCAGGAAATTCGTGAGGAGTGTGCCGAATCGAGGTTCCAAGAAACAGTCTCCTGGGCCAGCTGAACGCATAACATGCATGAAATGCGTGAGGGGTGTGCCGGATGAAGGTTCTCACCAGCATGGATAAGCAACTCATTCGTTTGTTTACGTCCCCCAGGAGCCTCGAGGACCAACTCGCGAATTGTCTTACGTCCCAGAAGTGCGAGAGCGCAGATCAGTAGTGTGCGTCTACATGTCCCACTGTGTATGGGCAGGAAACGTGTCGGACGTTTTCATAATCAATTATTTCGTGGATTTGGGGAAACACATCACTTTAATGTTACGTGCCTGAAGGCATGCCATCTCATCATCTTCCACTGCATCATCATCTCATCACCTACCCTCGGATCTTACCATACGGCGTGGACCCGCATGGGGTCCGCCAAATCTCATCGTTTCGCTCACTCCGCCGGCCCATATTGCACCACTGTTGCTTCATGTTGATGCCCACGGCGGGCGAGAAGGAGGGCAGGGGACTCGATAGGGGGGTGCAGGAGGAGGACGAGGCCTCTCGACGGCTTCTTGGAGCACTCACGGGACTAAACTCGGGAGCCTCTTTGCGGCATTGTTGGTACCTCCTGAGGCTTCTTGGGGGCCCCGCGGGGCATTCGGCATTCTTTTTGGGCTTCCAGGGGCATCTTGAGGGCCTCTTGGGGGCCTGCTGGCAGTCTCGGGTGCAAGCTGTCAGAGAAGGCTAGGCCTCTTGGGCCGTCTTGGGGCCATCCTCGGAACCTCTTGGGCTGACTAAGGGCGATCTTGGAGGCCTCTTGGGCCGTCGTGGGCGGTCGGAAGCTTGAAAAGGCGGTAACGCCAAACCCATTGGAAAACCAAAGCAAAATCAATACATGCTGCATCTTAGGGCCCTCCTGTGGTCGTCTTGGGGCCCTCCTGGGGCGTCTTGGGCGCCTCCTGGGCCGCCGTGAGGCCCACTCGGGCCATCTTGGAACGCTCTCGGCCCGAGGCCGTGGGGCCTGCCGCCTACTCGTCGCCTCCCTGGGGCGCCCGGGGAGCCCCCCTAATAAGGGCCGCGCTCCGGAGTTCTCTGGCCTCTGGGACCCGACCCAGCGTGGAACCCGCCGGGGCCCTGCCGGCGGACCTTTGGCGTCCGGGGACGCCCAGGTGCCGCCACCGCGCGCGCGTGCGCGCGAACTGGAGACAGCCTGAAGCTCTTCAGCCACGCGCAGAGGGGGGGGGGAGGGGGGAGGGCTTCTTAGAAGCACCCCCCCCTGCTCCCCTCAGAAGGCGCTGGGCTCACCTGTAGATGCGAGGCCGGCGCCTTCCTAAGAAGCAGCCTCCTCCTGAGAAGCCCTCCCCCTTCCCTCCACCCCCCTTGTGCGCGCCGCCAAGCTCTCACCAGAGATTTTTGCACGCCTCTGGCCCGTTTGTGCCAGCGGATGAGTACGACTTGTCTTGTCGCCCACTGGACTGGATGCCTCCTCTGTGTGTGCAGATCGTCTGCCTCGTCTGCAGGTCGTCGTGGCTCCCTGCCCGCAGCCCAAGAGGTCTGGGACTGGGACGGCGTCCACCTGGCGCCGAGGCCGAGCGAGATGGGGCGATGGAGAGACCGCAACAACGAGAGCATGGAAAGCAGGGTTGGGGAGGAGGTATGATGCCAGCTCGTGGTCAATAAGTGACGCTCCGCCCGTCCCCTCTCCCCACTCGTGTGGCTGGCGAAACGCACCGCGAGCCGCAATTTGCGTGTTTCACCACGCGCGCCAGAAGATGGCGCGTGAGCCTACACACGCGAGGCACACAGACACACACGATATTCAGTCAAGGCGTCGGGAAGGGCCCGTGCTCTCAAACCCACTGGCTTGGCCGCGTTGTCGTTGAACGTGGCCCGAAGTCGGAGCACCGGGACCGCAGGTGACGAAAAAGTGAAACCCTGGATTCAATAACACGTCCTCCGGGTTCAAGAGCGGGCAACCAGATGGGGCCGGTGGGGGGGCACATGCTTGAGTGCACCAAGAAAAGTCGGAATCCCTTGGGCCACCAATTTTCGGAGTGTCGGGAACATGGGTCTCCGCACATTCGGTTTGCTATCCAGATGTTTGTTCCTTGACCGGAGCTCCCGACCATGCCTGATGAAGAGGGTGATGAAGACGGAGAGGCAGAGGACGACCACGATGAGGAGTCGGAGCAAAGGCCCGAGGAGCAGGAGATAGAGGGGCCTCCTCCCTCTGCCTTCCCATCCCCCTCTTCCGCTCCCTCTCCCTCTCTCCCTCTCTCTCGTAGTTCCCCCATCCTTCAGACTTGTGAGTCTCCTCCCCTCGCGGCTGTTCTGAGCCACCCACCCACCCATCCCGCTTTGACAATTACTCAATATGAATACTACTCTCCCTCTTCCCCTGAAGGCGTGCTGGGAATATTCGACCCACCCCCGCGTTCTGTTTTTTACACACAGGATTCCTGGGAGTTGGGTTTTCGCCTGCGTTTTTTTTCAAAATGCTGCTCTCGCTGAGGCGCCAGCCTCAGTTCTGCTCCCGAATCGTTCCGAATCGTGCTCCCGCTGCAGCGTGGGCCTCATTTTCGGATCGGTGTTTTGCCTCCGTCGTTCAGTTCTCGCCCCAGCGCGGGCCTCTTTCTCGCGCGCCCATCCGCCCGCCACCACCGCGCCGCACCACGCCCCGCCCCGCCGCACGCACACCCACCGCCACTTCCATCCACCAACGCACGCACGCACGCACGCGCACCACCACCGCGCACCGCCACCACCACCGCACTACCCCACCCACCACCACCACGCTACACCGCGTCACACCACATCACACGCGCGCACACACAGACACACACGCACGCACGCACGCACGCACGCACGCACGCACGCACGCACGCACGCACGCACGCACACACACACACACACACACACACACACACACACACACACACACACACACACACACACACACACACACACACACAGACACACACACACCACCACCACCACCACCGCCATCACGCACGTACGCACCTGGCCCACCACCAAACCACCAAGACGCCACACCACGTCACACCACAGCACACGCGCACACACGCACACACACACACACATACACACCACCACCACAACAACCACAACCACGCACACACGCACGCACGCACGCGCACCACCACCCACTACGCACACGCGCGCGGAGCCACAGGTCCGCTACGACACGCGTCCGCAGATAGAGAAAATCAGCGCCATGGTAAGGGATGGGAGGGAGGGGTAGGATGTCAGATGTTGACGCGCGCGCACCAAACCTGCCCTCCCCCCTTCCTCCCTCCTCCTTCCCCCCCTTCTGCTCCCCTCTCGCCCTCCGACGATGACCCGCCCCCCTCGGCGCGAGGGGCTCCTCGCTGCTCGGCCGCTGCCTGTCGCCCGCGGCCGTGCGCTCCCTGCCCGCGACGGCGCGCCCGGCGGCCTCGAAGGCCGCGGCCCGCTGGCCCGCTCCCCGCCGGCGACGGCGGCGGCGCGCGACGACGAGGACGGCGCAGCGCTTGCAGCGACGGCGACGACGGCGGCGGCTGCCGGTGCTGCTCCAGGGAGGAGGGGGGTCGAAGGAGTCGCGCGGGAGGTGCGCCTGAGGCGCTTCCTCGACTTCGGCCTCCGGGGTCCCCGTTCGGGCCCTGGGGCCGTCGGAGATCGATCCGGGACGAATGCCGGGTCAGGATTGAACCCGCGGGGTGGTTTGGGATCCAGTGCTCTGCGGATTTGGGTCGGGAGGTTCAGAGGAGAATGACAAACAGATGCCGTCCCTGTTCGTCTGTTTTCGCATTTGGGGGGCATCCATAGGGGGCATTCGGTGACCTGGCCGCCTCGGAACCCCCGTCAGAATGCACCCCGGGAGAGATCTGGTAAGTCTCAGTACCCGTATCGTTTGGGTTGCTACCCAAGGGAAGGAGGACGACGAGGGCTTGGGCCGTCCACGTTTGGATGGAGCAGATGCTGTCTGAGGACCGTGCCGCATTGTCCGGAGCATCGGCGACGCGGCGGGATCGGGAACCCGATCTGCTCTGTCGCGGAGTCGCCGATGCGTCCCCCATAAATTGGCGATGCGGGGCGATCCGCCGAGAGCATTTGCTCTGGTGGACAAAGGGGGGGAAGTGTGTTCAACCAAACGACTTGATCGGGGGGGTGCAGAGGGAGCCCCATCTTCTTTGTTCCTCCTCCTCGTCTTCCTCCTCCTCGTCCTCCTCCTCGTCCTCCTCCTCCTCGTTCTCCTCACCCTCATCATCTGGAATACCTTTATGTTATGTACCAGACTTACAACCTAGCGCGTCTCGGCTCGGCTATCGTGACACCATCACAGCTTCGTGGCTACGTCGGGGCTGCTCTCTGCAACCTTCGCCTGTCTAGGCCGAGCGATCGCTTGCGACGATGGGTGCCGCCAGCACCTATCCCAGTGCAGCGACGGTTGCAGCATCCACCTGCTGTGATCTCTCTTTCGTCTACCTCCGAGCCGAGCTCCAGTTGCGGCCCCTCCTCTGACGCCCTACGACCTGGCCTGGTCCCTCCTACGCTTCCGGCCACCGACGGCTGGATCAGCGATTCGCCCCCTGGCATGGGTCGCCCTGCCCCATCCTGTCGCCCGTCGGTCGCCGCTTTGGCTCAGTGGCCGCTTGCTAGCCGGCAGGCCGCGGCCTCGTCGCCTCGGTTGACACCGGTTGTCTCGCCGACGTCGGCCCCGCCGACGCCTTCCACGCCTATTGTTTCTGCAGCATCTGAGGACGACGCTGCACCGATGGTTGCGATGCCACTGCAGGCCCTTCGGGCGACTTGCACCTTGATGGCAGTATCAAGTGGTGTTGGGGCCCTGCAGATTTCGGTGTGCGTATCGTTTCCAATTTGGCCGTATTCTTTTCACGACTCCGATGTTACCTCGTGTTGTTCAGAAGACCCACGCTGGCGACGATGATTGCCCTCATGGCATGTGCATGCCCCCTGACGAGGTCGACCCCAGGCGCCCTCAAGTTGTTTTTTTCCTGTCCACGGTTTCGAGGGCCTCACGGTGGATACTGAGGCTAGATATGCCTGATTGTGGCCTTACCGACTGGAAACTCTGGTGCGAGCCGCTCGTTGAAGCCAATCGTCGCTCTCTTGAATGGGCGGAGGCCGAGAGACTCCGAACTGGTCGGACGTTTGCCGAGATGGCCATCGACATCTGTGCTGCAGCATGGCGTCGCTAGACCGAGCGCCGACACAGCATCGTCCAGTACTTGGGGCGGGTGAAGTCGCACGAGTCGCACGAAATTTGGGAGCGCGCCGTCGCCTGGCACTGGTCTACCCTTCGTTTCTTTCGGCGTGAGACGAGGTCTTACCTGCTCAGCGTTGATGGCCCCACGGTCCCGCTCGCCATTAGTGAGTACGACGAAGACTCGGGTGGCGAGGTGCTCCCATCGGTCCACGCTGACGGCACTATCCACTACTACGCTCCACGTCCCGATCCCGTGCCAGAGGTGCCGAACGACACAGCCAGGCATGCCTCAGCTAGCAGTGATGATGTGCTCTCGCGTCGCCGTCGTTCCGGACTGCTCGCACATGGACCTTCTCCTGCACCGCTTCCTTTTCCTCACGTTGATGGTGATGAGGTGCTCTCGCGTCGCTGTCGCTCAGGTTCGCCATCCTCTGGACCTACACCAGCTCCGTCATTGACGAATCTGTCAGAACGCGAAGGCAGCTGCTCCTCGAGCCTGTCCTTTTTCGAGAGTAGATTGTGCGCTGCGTCCGAGCGAGGTCTTGCCCTGTGCTGCGCGTGATGGGTCAGAACGCGAAGGCGGGTGCTCCTCGAGCCCGTCCTTGTTTCGAGTAGATTGTGGACGTCCTCGGAGCGAGGTCCACGCTGCTGCCGCGGGTGGACTGTCTGAACGCGAAGGCGGGCGCCCCTCGAGCCCGTCCTTCTCAGGAGTAACTTGCGAGACCGGTCGGAGCGAGGACTGCGCCGCACCACGCGGCGGATTGTCAAAACGCGAAGGCAGGTGCTCCTCGAGCTTGTCCTTCACACGAGTAAATTGTGAGCCGAGTCTCGCTCTTGCGGATGGTGGCACAAGACCGACGATGGCCACGCGGACGAGGATTGCCTTATCGACCCCCGCTGCCACAGTCTGCTGCGCCATTGAGGGCCTCTTCTGCACCACCGATGACCAGTTCATCGAGCCTGATGGCCATCACATCTGCTGCTACGCGCCTCTCTTCTTCGCACAGGATACTATCGACGACGCCAAAGATGACAGTGCGAACGGGCGAGGGGGCCCTTCCCCAGGTTCCGCCTCGGATGCCCCCCTCTCAGCGTTGTCTGAGGCCCCCGTCTTCGATGGGCCCTTCCGAGGTCCGCTTGGACTCTTCTTGGTCCCTGAGGCCTTCTGTAGGTGGCGGTGCGCGCGGCTCTCCTGCTGGAGGCACTCCTGAGGCTTCCGCTTTCTTGGAGGCTCCTGTCGCATAGTCCTTTGTGTCTCCTGATCGGAGGCTCTCCGCCCCGCGTGAGGCCCTCGGAGCGAGGGGTCATCTGATCGCGCCTTCCCCTCAGCCGGGGATTGACCTAATACCCGTAACCCGGGTCGGAGGCTGTGCGAGCCCTGCGGTGAAAAGCGGCGCCCCTGTTTTTTTCCCTGCCACCGGCGCGTCTGCGTCTCTCCCCCCCCTGTCTCCCCCCGCCGCTGCCCCCCCCCCCCCATCCTCTGAATGAAAGATGCCTCCGGGTTGAAACTAATCTGCGGCTGCCTGGCCGCCCCTGCCCCGGCGCGCCCTGCGAGTGCGACGCGGCAGGCGGGCCCTCGCTGTCTGAGCCGTCGCCGCTGCTGTCGCCTGCCGCCGTCGCCCCCGTTTCGTCTTCCTCCATCCGCGCGGCGGATCGGGAGAGGTGCCCCAAGCTGCAGGGCTTGTGAGCAGTGGAAGAAGACTGCTGCCCTCGGTGCGCTCGCCCCCTCCCCCTCGTTCTCCCCCTCCTCTTCCTCGCCCCCGCCTGCCGCCTTGGAGCTCCGCGCCCCCTGCGCCCCGTTCCCGTGTATGTTTGTTATTTTGCCCCCCAGGACGCCTTCGGCATCGCCGGCTAATGTCTGGGGCACCTTTTACACGAGAAGGACCAGACCATCACCGCGGGCGATCTGTTCAAAGACTTGGTTGGGGCGCAGGTACTTTCAAAGGGCGCGCGCATCGCGATCCTTGGCGGCCACCTCTACAACGGACTGGGGATTGCAGGGGCCAGCGTGGAGAAGTTGCGTCATCTGGCGTCGTTGGTGCCATCGTTGCCCACGCCATGGGTCATCTTGTGCCATTGAAATTCCCCGCCTGAAGCCCTTCGGACAGCAGGGCGGCTCAACTCGGCGCAGGGAAACATATTGGTTGCCGACCGTATGGGTCACACGTGCACTGGTGGACAAGGTGCACCCATCGACTACGCGGCGGCATCAGGGCCCGCTTTTGAGCGCATTGAACGGGCGCAGGCGGATAATGATATGGTTGGTGAAGGGCACAAGGCCCATCATGGCATAGGGCTGGATCTCTTGTTGGAAGCCAAAGAAGCAGAAGGGCGCGCGCTGGGACTTCCCAAGGCCTTCGGACCACCCAATCAGCCGAAGGAAAAGGCCGACCCGAACAGTAAGCGCTCACGGAAGCTGGTGGCGGTGGCTAGCCTGGCGGCCACGAGGCCCGCAGTGCCTGCGCTGGGATCTCGCAAGAGATTGGGGACCAAGGCACCGCCGCATTTTTATTACTTGGGTCCCACGGACTTGGGCGAGGAGTCGGAGTGCGAAGACGAGGAGGAGGACGACGAGGACCCACTGCCTGATGATGAACCAGGAGCAGACCTAGTCCCACCAGCAGTTGATGAAGGGCTGGGCGAGAAGTGGTTTCTGCGCAACAGAGATGAGGCGCGGGGCCCGAGCATCATCATCAACGACAAAATATGATCAAAACCCCTTTATCATTACGTTCGGGACTCGCACGCGTGGCATCTTACGGCCGACAGTGCTTCCTCCTTGGGACACCAATGTGGCAAGTGGGTCAGCAAGGCGGAGGACGATTCCAGCATTCTATTAGATGGTGAGGGGTTGTACAGGGACGGCGAAGCCCAGCGCGGTAGCGGCATTGCCCGTTCGGCGAGGATCAACGAAGTTGCGCCCCCTCCCCCTTTTACTCGGACCCGGGGCCCTGGGGCGGATTGGCGGGCCACAAATTGTCTTCTTGCTAGAGGGGCTCGACAGGGCCACCTCGCAACGCGAGGCCCCCAGGTTCAGCAAGCTCATCAACGGACTGAGGGGCGCGACAGCGAGCGCACCGACTTCCACCCTGGCCTCTCTGCCGAGGAAGGAGAAGCAGTCCTGGCGCAGGAAGTTTCCCACGTTGAACCCTGCCACGAACGGCGCCATCCGCAGATCCAAGGAGGCCTGCAGCAAGACTGCCAGCAGCCAACAAAGAATGGAGTGCTACTCGC